TAAAATGGTGCAATAATTAATACTTAAAGCCTCATTTTGTGAAAAAAAACTCCAAAAAAATGCCATTTTTCCCATATAAACGCATTTACAAACTTTGGCGGCGATGCGCGGGCTCTTACCCTCAAAATAATTGAATAATATTTTACAGTCTTCCATTTGACGTTAAAATACAACACAATTTCACTATTAGATGTTGATCCGAGCGAAAAGCCTATTTTCGACCCACCCTAATATACATACATACATACAATAACAAAATCTCACTAAAAAATCATCAAAATGCTTAAATTTAAATCAATTTTTATTTAAAGAAAATGTCTAAATTTATAAGTATACACAGAAAAAATTAATTTTAAAAAATTTTCAATTAAACGATTAATCAAAAATTTTAAAAGGGTTCAATTCATTTTGTATTTGATTCATAAAAATGTATAATCAAATACGTATTTAACAACAACAAAAATAGAAAAAAATAAAAATTTTGTGTACGAAATCAATTATAAGTAGTAATTGAATATACAATTTTTGTTATAGGTTGAACTTCAAAAAATAAAATAATTGAAAACGAGGTTTTGGTAATTGAAATCGTTTTCAGTTTTTTCTGTGTAGTAATTTATAATTTTATAAATTTTAAATTAATTAACAATTTCTATTAGCAATAATTATCAATTACTTTATTTACTTTTGTCAACATTAAACACAAAAACATACAATATACTAAAACAAATTGCATACAATAACAAAGTCTTACTGAACAAACAACCCATCAAGTTTTATTGTTCAGTCGGCTTGATTTGTACTAACCAGTCAAACTATCAGTTTTTTTTACGTCCCTTAGTAAGAAAACGAAACCAAGAACTAAGCAATACGTAAGCAGCACACGCAAATCTGTTTTTACTGTTCAGTCGTTGTGTTCAGTTCGGCTGAGTTGAAAAACTTAACATGGCCGCTGCTTGTGTGTTTGGCTGCTGAAGAAAAACAAAACCACTTGCAAGTTATTGCAGCAGTGCGTTGACACAGTTGACTGACTTCAGTTAGCTTGTGAGGGAAAAATAAATACTTGAACTTTCTTCAGTTCAGTCGACATTTAAAAAAATAAAACTAAATATTAAACCCTGTTTTTGACTCCTTTTGATGACCTAAAAGTGATTAATAAGTTGAATTTTTAGAATTATTTTCGAATCATATTATAGTAATTTTTGACTCTTTTCTGAGTAATTTTAATGTTTGTTACAGACAAATACAATACAACTACAAAATAAATTTATAAACAATCAAATTTCGAACACCTGGAAGACCTATTAGTGATTGCTGTACATTTTGTTATTGTTTTTCAAATAAATCAGATTTTAAACATTAATTGGAATTATTTAGACTTAGTTTAGTGATTAGTCACCCAACTGTCTTCCGTATAAGATCATTAAACATATAAAATTATTATAATTACAGCATAATATAATTTCAATTTCCTTGACAGAAAATCGACTTTATAAATATCACTTAAATTGAAATACTTATACATTTAATTTTATAAACGAAATGAGAATTATATCAACTTATTTTAGGCCACACAAAATTTTTTGCCAACTCTTCTTAAAGAGTCTTTCCAGAGCCCATTTTCTAATCAGTTTCGACTCATTTTTGACTCGTTTTTGAGTCATTTTTAAGTGTAAGTGTTGCTATTCCATTGCAAACAAAAACAATTACACAAGAAACACCAGAAAACCGTCATATTTTAAACACCAGGATGATCAATTTATGATTGCTATACATTTTGTTATTGTTTTTCAAATAATCAGTTTTCAATCATATATCGGGATCATTTTCGAATCATTTTTTAAGCGCTCAACTTATTAATCACGTTTAGGTCATCAAAAAGAGTCAAAAATGAGTCAGTTCACTGATTAATCATCCAACAATCTTCCAAATGCTAGCTGGGAGTCTGGTATTTGAGTTTCTGCGTTAGTATTAGTGGTTTTGTTCGAATTTGTTGAATTGAGATTTGTGGCAGAGTTGTTTGTCTTCATGTGAGAATTTTGTGTTTGTTTTTTAACGGCTAATCGTCAGTATATTATTGGTTTGACCCTCACGCCAAACACTTGTTATTGAGAAAAACGAATAAGAAGGTTCAGATAAACTTTTCTCAAAATTTACGTGATAGATTTTTTTTTAATTTTCACACTTGATTTCGACATATATTTTGAACAAAATTATAGATTTACACACCGTTATGTAAAATTTAAAAAAAGTTATTAATATTTTAATGAAAACAAAAATTCGTGTTTTATGGTCTATATCAATTTTTTATTTTTGTTTTCCCTTTTTAGGGTCTATAATATAGAAAAAATACTCATTTTGTATGGATATAGACTCTATATCCATACAAAATGAGTATTTTTTATGCCCACCATCGAAAAAGATCCGAACTAAAACAGCTAGAAGGCTGAAATTTTTTACAAATATTTTTTATTGATGTAGGTTACTTGGTATTGAAAATGGACAGTATTGGACAACAATTTCACCCATAGCCCCATATACATACGTAAGTGTCCGCCCAGAATACAGTTTAAATAGTCAAACCTGGCTTAGAAATACCAGTATAGCGATGAAATTCAACAAAAACTAGTTTAATAGGAAGCACAAACTCTCTACCAAGTTTTATGAGGATCGGCCCCTCATATATAGTCCCCATCAAAAATGACTTTAAGTATAGGCTTAAAAATGTCATTATAATGATGAAAATCGAAATAAGAACGTTCTATAGCAACCAAAATGTTTCAACCAAATGGTTTGAATATTGGTCTATATCTCTTTCACGTATGTATATGGGACACCGGTGTCCCAAATTTTTTTTTTATTGATGCAGAGCGTAATTTTGAGTTCACAGCTACAGTAAATAGTTATTTCCATAGAAAATTAAGTTTTTTTTTTAGAAATTGATGGCACCGCAAACTAAAAAGGATAATATCCTTTGATAAGTATTCCAAAAACCTAAAAATATTAGTTACCTATTTCTATATCCCATAATACATTCGAAATCTGCTATGTTGGATGAACATTCTGATGGTGTTTTTATAGGTAGTAAATCTTCATCAAACATCCTAATGGCATGGAACTATAACAAAATATCAGACAAACAATTAAATACCACTTAATTAATAATTTATTCGGAAAAAACGGAGCTGGTGATGAAAATTGCATATTTTACTTCGGCACTCAAATTATTTATGAATTGTTGTTGTTTATGTGCAAAATTTTCACTAAATTTGTAAGATGGTTTTACCAGACCATTTTATATGTATACAAAAACTGTCAAATTATGTATGCTGAAAAATAACAATCAGTGTAATAGATCTGTCAAAATCCATATACAAATAATGTAAACAAGAGTTTTAAAAACACCTTGTTATGTGTGCTTTGATCTACGTTTTTGTTATGGCAGTGAAGCAAAACAATAGTGATTAATTTGTTTTAAATTTTTGTATGAAAATTGTGGTCTATACGCCAAACAGTGGGATATGGAGCAAAACAATATTTAGTCTTAAAATTGTGGATATAGACCAAAGTTAACACCCGATATCTCGGAAATCGTATCAAATATTGAAAAATGGGTTTCGGAATCGAAAAGAGGATGTCCAAATTATATACAATCCACTCCTAACTCAATTTTCGTAATGTTGAGTTGTTTTTGTCTTTTGCATAGTCAATTTTGTCCGGCTAGTTTATTTCGGAAGTTTTGTTGTTATTTGTTGTCAAGGCACAAATTGCCATTTGTGCGTATATGGGATTCTTCTTGGCGTTTTTGTAGACAGGTGGTTGAAGCATATTTACGGATTTTCATTAATCATTTTCCATGCTTCCCGAGTTGTACATCTTCTTGAAATTCTCAAGTAATTAACCGATTTATGCTCCCAGTACGTAGGACATTTAGGGTCGTAGGATGTGTTTATACAGTAGTTACGGGTACATTCCTCAGGTACTTGAGTAAAACTAAAGAATGTGGTTCTGTTCCACATTTTTGCACGATTTTTATTTTTTCGTATGACCCAATCTTTGGCAGTTTATACATCTCATGGTATTTGGTATGTACTCGTCGACAGGGACTCCCTCCCAGCCGAGCTTCAAAAAGTCACGGCGGTAAATCATGTCAAATGTAATTATCGCTGCTCCTATGGCTACTATCTTATTCTTCTCATTTTTTGTTATCTTACGTACATCAACGACTTTCTGTTCCTTAAGAGATGTCAGTAAATCTTCTTGAGAAATGTCGATTAATTTTCTGGAAAAGATGCGTCCTTGTACCGTATTCAGCGTTTTATAAAGAAAGAAGCGTAAGAAATTTCTCAGCAGTTTTGTTATCAGGTGCTTTTAATAGCAGATCTCCGCTTTTCATTTCCTTAACCTCCAGTCTGTCACGTGTGATAAAATCAAGACCCCTTTCCACTTGAAAAACATTATGCGAAGCAAGTGGGAGAACCTGCAAATCTTCTCTCTGCGGTATAGTAACCACTAAATAACGTGGGAGATTTTGTTGATCGGACGATGTTTCTGGTAGTAGTATGAAGTCTGAAGGGCATGAACCCCGTTCATCTCGCGATATTAAGTAATTTCATGTTAAAAAAACATAAAATTCTTCAAAAATTATTAAAAATAATACAAAAAAACGAAAAAGTTACTCATTGAGAGAAAAAGATTTTTCTAGCACTATACGACTACACTTTATTCAACCGGTCACTGAGAGAAACACATGCGTACTCGGAAAATGCCTGACACTGGCTGGCATATTGTATTTATATTTTGTTTTTTTTTACCGCGGAAGTCTATTTTGTGAAAAATTTTTTTCATTTACATTTCTTTCAGGCATGGACCAAAAAAATTTGGATGAAAAACTCTGTGAATTTTTAGAAAAGATTGACTTTTTGATAGGTAATTTTAAGTTATAACACTAGTGAATTTAATGAGTGATATGTAGGTAAATTAAAAATATGTTTTAAGCTAACCTTAAATCATATAAAGTTTTATCCATATCCTCGTCCGTAAATTTTCCTTCACTCGATGCAACCAAACTAAATTCCATTGTTTCATCTTGAAGACACGATTGGACGAATTCAAAAATATCACATATTTTTTCATAAACACTGAAAGTGCCCTGTAAATTTGAATTAAATTAGAATATAGCCTATTTTTTGTGTTTTCAACATACTTGTATATACAGCCCATTGGGAAATTTTACTCTCACTAAAGCATATTTATACATTCTCAAGGCTCGCTGTTCTTCGCGTTCTCGCATAGCTTTTGTTTTAAGAATTTGAGCACTTTCAATTGCTTCAGCTCTCAATTGTTGTTCTCGTTTAATCTCTTCAGGTGAAATACGGTAGAAATCATCAGGCAAAACGACACGTTTAGCCTGAGAAGGCAACAACACTTTTATGTTACGATCTAATACCAATTGAATTGGTTCAGAATTTTGTAAAGCTTCTATTAGTGTTGTTAATTCGTAGTCTTGTTCCACATTATCTTTCGACCATATTAGAAACTTCTCATCATCCAAATCCACTTCGCGAAATCCTGCAGCCTGAAGAAAGTCTAAAGCGCCTTCAACATACCGAACTTTTTCACAAAATATGCTACAAAGACATGAACAATTTAACGTCGGTATATCACATTCTATATTATTTAAAAGTTACCGATTTGACATTCTGATTTTGTAGTATTTCTCATCTTCTGGAAACTTTACTATATTCTCCAAGTATTTTGTTAAAGTTAGAATGCAATCTTCTGCCTATACAAAAATAAAAATAGTTATTAAATAGAATTTCTCTTTTTAATTACATACTTAACTCAGAAAAACAAAAGCAGTGCGTTCTTTTTTGAGTATCTACCCTACAAGAAACGAATGGCCGAAACTTCATATTGCCTTAAAGAACTTGGTAGAAACTTTGTTCTAAGCAATAATATATGGGCAATTTCGTGTCAAGTGACCCAACTTTTAAAATCCATGCCTTCCGATTTGGATTGGAGGACAAAGTTGGACATTTTGGTCATACAAGGTTTTGTTCAAATGAGTGTAACTTTCACCTATTGGACCTAGCCAAAATTGTCCACAGAAGTTCAGATAGCTATTAATTCATTGTTTCCAAAAAGTATTTTTAATTTGTTTCATTGCCTCTTGTATATTGTTTTTGTTTCTTGGTGTATTCAGTTTCGTATGTTTGGATGGCTGTTGGTTTCATTGCGTTGTGTATTTTGTTTTTTCTGTATTTCGTTTCGTATGCTTGGATGTCTGTTGGTTTTACTGCCTTGGGTATTTTGTTTTTTGTGTGTTTATTTCGTTTAGCGTTGTTGTTGTTCATTTTGTTTTGCTATAATACACTGTGGTGAAGGGTATATAAGATTCGGCACAGCCGAATATAGCACTCTTACTTGTTTATTTTATTTTTTTGCTTAAATATAACGCCCATGTGATGACAACCGCATTTCGCCTAATATTCATAGCATAGATCACAATCGTAAGAAGTTTGGCGATTTCAAATCACAAATATTTCTAATCAACGCCTATGAGATGACAATCTCACGATTAATCAAATCTCATACGATTTGAAAATCGCCAAATTTATTTAAGTATGTGATGGAGTTCGCGCGTTTTGTTTGCGTTTTGTAATTTTTCTAAGTCGTTTTCGAAACAATAAAACATAAAATTAAAAAGAAAATCGTCAATACAAACGAAAACAATCGAAAAAATTATGAGAAAAATCCAAGAAATAATGAAACGATTAAGCAAAATTCATTACTTCACTTTAGTAAATGTTTGTGATATGAAATCGCCAAACTTCATGCGATTGTTATCTATAGCACACCAATTTTGCGATTTGATTTCACAATCGCCAATGTTAGGCGAAATGCGGTTGTCATCACATGGGCGCAAATGATTGAAAAATGAAATCAGACATATTTCTTCATTTTAATAATTTTATTTAAAAATAACAATTTCAAAAAAGTCTTGGATTTTACTCATAATTTGTTCGATTGTTTTCATTTGTATTGACGATTTTCCTTTTTATTTTGTGGCACAAAATATCGCCCATGTGATGGCAATCGCACGATTATGAAATCGCATACGATTTCAAATCGCCAAATTTATTTAAGTATGTGATGAAGTTCGCGCGTTTTCTTTGCGTTTAGTAATATATATAATAGCTTTAAAAAAAGAAAGAATTATAAATCAGTATCACTAGCAATATACATTTTTCGAATATAAAAAAATCATATGTTTCTATTAAATCGTCAATATAAAAGAAAACAATCGACAAAATTATGAGTAAAATTCAAGACTTTTTTAAATTGTTATTTTTTAATAAAATTATTAAAAACCATTATTAGTTTTTAACAATACTAGAAGAAAATATGTCTGATTTAATTTTTCAATCATTTTATTAACTTTTAAAATCGCAGATTAAGCAAAATTCATTAATTCACTTTAGTAAATGTTTGTCGCCCATATGATGACAAACGCATTTCGCCTAACATTGCCCATTTCAAATCACAAACATCTACTAACGCCCATGTGATGACAATCGCACGATTATCAAATCGCATACGCAATCATTTGATTAGCTTTTAAAATCGCAGATTAAGCAAAATTCATTAGTTCACTTTAGTAAATGTTTATGATTTGAAATCGCCAAAATTCTTGCGATTGTGATCTATAGCACACTTATTTTGCGATTTGATTTCACAATGGCTAATTTTAGACGAAATGCGGTTGTCATCACATGGGCGTAAAGTGAACTAATAAATTTAGCTTAATCTGCGATTTTAAAAGCTAATCAGATGATTGAAAAATGAAATTAGACAAGTTTTCTTCTAGTATTGATGAAAACTAATAACGCTTTTTAATAATTTTATTTATAAATATCAATTTCAAAAAAGTCTTGGATTTTAGGCCTGGACATTGCTGTAGAACCCCCAACTAGATTATTGTAGTTTTAGCTGTAACAACAACAACCTAGTGTGGGCATTATCGAGATTTTAACATAGAAACAGAATTATAAGATGCCATCACAATTTAAAAAAAATATTGTTCAGATGATTCCAAGTTCACAAAATGAACAAAAGTTGGACCGAAGCTGCTAACATCTTTGCATTTTTTTTTTCGATTTTCAAAATTTTGTTAAGAGCTTCTGCAATATACATATCTATCTAATATCTAAATTTTCTTCATTCAAGGACATAGAAATTATCTGCTAAATGCCACAAAGGAATTATATTTTAATTTATAAAAAAATTAATTTATTCAAAAAGACACAGAAAAACACCGAAACACCCCGTTTTTGAAAAGTTGGGTCAAAATCGGGAGATATTGCATTTTAAAGTTTAAAGTGTTTCTGGGCTGATTTTTGATTATTTAAATTTAAAAAACAAAACTCACACGCATAGAAAAATAAATACATGAAACTAGAATCCAGTTTAGGTGTCTCGGCGTTTTTTTTTTTTTTTTTTGTATCTTTTTGACATACTTACAGAGTTATTTTCAAAGTTTCACTCAATTTCGAGCAAAATAAATAATATTTCTTTTTTTATATTTTACCCATGGTAAAAATATCTAAAGGATAACCTAACTAAAACAATAACTTTTTAAATCGGGCCAGCGGTTCTCACTGAACCTAAAATATTTTTGAAATCTTTAACGTAAATTCCACATACACAACACAAATTTCTTAAAAACTAATTTCCCCCTTTTTGATATGTGGCAACGATTTTTCTATTTATTTACAAAATACAAATTTCATAAAATACCAGTAAACTTCAAAAAAAATTTTGAGAGAGTGAAATGACACTACCTTCATATTTTTATCATGATTTTACCCATCAATCATTTTAAAGTTCATTTTTGGACAGCAAAATTTTAAAATCGAACACTGTGCGGTAATGAATCAAGCTCACCCTGTGGTTGTAAAAGTACTACTGTGAAATAAGGCCAACACGGCATTTGTTCATTTAAAGCATTTCGCCTTATACACACAGCCAGAGGGAAATTGCTAAAACGGCTAGTGTCAGAAAATAATATTGTAAGAAATGCAAACGGACGACAAACTTATATAAACTCTTCTCGTGAAAGTGAAGGGTATAAAATGTACCAATTTGCCAACACTGGTATGTAAGTATTTACATAGATCGTCTTATTGAAAGTGAAACAGGCCAAATTTGCAGACACCTTTCTTTAGTTACCTAAACCAAACAATTTCCTCAGTTAAAACCCTATATAAAATACCTCTTTTTTCTATGAACACTCAAATATTGTCACACTGCTTATTGTTTGAAAATATTATTTTTACTCAAACCTTTTCCTTGCTATTGCAATTGTAGATTATCAAACATGATGTTAACGCTTTTTCGGCATCAAGTTGCTGATACAAAAAATCCTTAATTTTAACTTTCCATTCCTTCTTTGACAAAATTTCATCACTTATGATAGGACAGCGAAAGAAAACTCCTTGGCAAGCTAAATTTGAATTAGGATTATTTTCAACGTTTGGCTCCGGTGTCGGAACTTCTTCCTTAAGTTTTCGTTCAGCTTCAAGTTCTCTTTTTGCTTGAGCTTTAATAGCTGCCAACGACGTATTAAATTCCTTCGAACCCTTGTTTTCTACTCTAGCCAGAGCTGCTGCTGCTGCAGCTCTAACTTCATTGCTTAATTCTTTGCGTTTAGGTGGAACGTAAGCATCGGCTATAGGTCTGCGATTTGAGGTAGAAGCCTCGGTATTTTGTGCACTTAGTGTGTGCCCCTGTCCTAAACCTCCACCTAACTTTAGTTTAAAGGCAGCTTCTTCTTTCTTCTTCGAAAAGAATTTCTTTATTTTAGACATTTTTGATATTAAAGAATGTACGTATGTTGTCTATATTCTAGGTGAGTGTTCTTTAGGCAACTTTAACTTTGCAACAGACAGTTTAAGTTCTTCAATTTCCTTAAGGGTACCTAAAATTTAATCTGCAATTGCTTAAAACACATTTATAAATATTCAAGATTTTTGATACCCACTTGGTCTAACAAATTTATCCGTAATTACTTTACCATACACCCTCCAGGAATAACAAATCAATAACGATGTAAGTAATAAAAGTATACACAGCAGTTTAAATAGAGTCCACTGAAGTGAAGTAAACTGTATTGGACTTTTCCACGAGAAGGTCGGATCGGAAATTTCTTTACCAATTTTTCCAGCAGTTTTTATAGCAAAATCTACAAATTTTTCAAATTGTAAAGCGAAAGCATAAAGCGTTTCGTTTATAGACTGCCGGTAAGAATCAATACTCATTTGCTCAAAATTATATATCTATTACTTTAAGCAAGCATTCTCTAACAGAGTTTATATGTTGTCTTTCTTCTGCTTTTAATATTATTACACTTTGTGATTAATATTAAACAATTTACAAATACAAGTCGTGTATAAATTGTCTTTGACAAAAAGTTATAATTCTCTATTCTGATGATTTATCATCAGAGCCCTGCGCCGACAAATATTTACGGCGGCGGCTTTTGACACTAAAAGTTTCGACGACGGCTTAAAATCTACTGAAAGCCGGTTAGTAGATACTTTGAAAGGAGGATGTAAATTATTTGATTTAATTCCAAGAATTAATTCCTAAAGCTTTCGATGTAGTTGAATTAATTCTCAAATGAATTAATTCCTATAGAATGTTAAATTCCTTCTGAATGAATTAATTTTGTTTGCATTCAATCTGTTACAAAATGAATTGAAATAAATTTCAACAATTCCTATTGAATTTAAATTCCCTCTGAATGATATAAATTTTGTTTGAATTCAATCTATTACAAATTGAATTTAAAAAATTTTCAACCATTCAATTTGAAATAGATTGAATGAAAGTTTTGTTTTATAATTCAAAAGCATTCAGTATATTAAAAATTTAATTAAATTTTTTTCTTTCATTCAATTTGTAATAGAAGGATTTAGACAAATATGAATGATCATTCAATTGAATTCATTCCTATAAAGAATGAATTCTCTTAGGAATTAATTCAATGGAATATACAGCCAAGGAATTCAGCTTTAGAATTTAAATTCAAAGAATGATTTTAAAGAATGGTACATTCAAAAATTAAAAGCCGAATTAAAAATATAAGGGAATTAATTCCAAATAGAATTTATTCTTTTCAAGCTTTGATTACATGTACATACAGTTTTGTTTTTTAAAAATATATATTTCAAGCAGTGTTTAAAAAACTAGACTATAAAGTAGCTGTAGTAACGAAAAATAACTACTTTAGTAGTTAGAAAATGTTCAAAAACTAGCAGCAAATCATTTACTATTGCTACTGCTACCTTTAGATTTTGGTAGCAAAAAAATAAAAAGTTTGATAGCAGTAGTACAGTCATTGGTATTTAAATGTTTCAATGTAGCAGTTGAATACTTCAAATAGTAGCAGTAAATATTTTCCTGAAGTAGCAATAAACGATATTATATTTTTCAACTATCAAAAATTTGGTAGTAAATGCTACCTAAATAAAGTAGCAATCTTAACAAAATTTTGGTAGATATGCTACCTAAATTTTGGTAGCATAAAAAAAATTTTATTAAAATACGGAAAATGCTAGGACTTTGATTCGTCGGCCTTCTAAAGACATATTAACATATTATAAAGGTTTCTCATTGCCTTTTCGCAAAAGATATTTTAGGAGGACGTTGTTTCCTCTCCTAAAGGATTCATGCACATTTATCAAAAGATTATGTATCAAATTTTGTATGAAAATTTGCTTTATACATATATACAAGCCATTAACGGAAGACCATCTACAGGCCTTTTTAAGTAAGCAAGTAAAATTAAAACGATTTTGCAATGCGGCTGAATGTACTTGTGTCTATAGAAAAATGCCCTTAGCAGGGGCCTTGCTATACTGAATCTTTTTCCCGTTGGGATATGTTATTTGTTAGTTTGTTTTTTTTTGTCGAAGTTTTTTGTTTTATTCTATTGCTACTTCAATAATTTGGTAGCAATAGAACGATCAACTAGTAGCAAATATTTCTATTGCTACTTATCAAAAGTATCAATAAAATTATTTATATTTTTATGCTACTACTCCATTTGTAGTTTATGTTTTATTTAGAACTATTTCTACTGCTAATGTTTTATTACTACTGCTATATTTTAAGATTTACTTTTTTATAAGTAGCAAAAGTTTTAAAAACGTATGATTATAAAACAAAACAAATGCTACTGCCACAACTTCAGACAATTGTTTGGAGCAGTAGTTAAAGCAATAATATAATACTTGGTAGCAACGTATTTTTCTAACACTGACTTCAAGCTTCCGCTTTAAGTTTATTTATTACCAGGGCAAGGATTTGTATGCAAATGCATGTTTGTAGTCAGTAATTCAAAATAACTTTTAAGTAGTTTTCCTTTCGAATCAAAGAATTTGCAACAAAATGGCATCGATTAGTTGTTGCATATTTTGTTATAAATGCATAAATTGGATATTTTGCTTTAAAATACGTATATTTTGCATATTTCTAACATTTTTATAGCACATTTTTTAATTTTTTGCACGCAAATTGTGTTTTTTATTACATATGTATTTTTAAAATTAACAAGAAAGAGTCCTATATTCGGCTATGCCAAATCATATATACCCTTCACAATGGTGTCTTAAATAGAATAGCCAGTACAGGTTGTTGCGTATGTGCAAATGTTGAAAAAATCGTTTCCTCCAGATTTGTATTATTATTTTTTATTATGTTTATTGTTTTGTTATGTTTATTGTACATTGTTAAGTCGTCTAGTAAACATCACACAGTCATATACGCGGTAACTATTTTAAATTAATTTGTTATTTGTTTTATTATTTATTAATTATTGTTTTTAAATAAAGGTTAACTTTGGGTTAGACTTAAACTCCATTGTTTCACTCAACCACCTCATAATCATAACACACTTTATATACAAAATTTCATGTTTCTTGGTTTAATATTATAGAAAATTCAAAAAGTACCTTTTGGAGAACGAAAAAGTACCAAAAGGTCCTCCTTTATAAATCCTCACCTGATACGGGATCTACATGATTATAGGTTCAATATTATAGAAAATTCAAAAAGTAAATTACATGTTTCTAGGTTCAATATTATAGAAAAGTCTAAAAATCCCTTTTGTAGAACGAAAAAGTACCAAAAATTACCCTTTTATAAGTGTTCACCTTATTTAGAACGAGAAAGTACCAAAAAATTTTATTGTAAACGTTTATTTTCGGATGAATAAAAATATGAAACATTTCTCAAATACAAAATACATACAATACAAGGTTTTACAAAAAGGTTGTTAACTAAATCTTAACACAAATACATTATTAACATCAATACTTTCCCTTGTTAAGATAATTTTTTAAGATTTGAAAACACATTTTAAACCCCAAAAGAACATTATTATAGAGTGCTTCAAATTTTTCAAAAGAGAACAAAAACCATCAGAAACAGTTTCAGAATATATTGTGGAACTTAAGCAGCTCGCACAAGAATGCGATTTTGGGTTGTTTCTGGAAAAAGCTCTCCTGATCAAATTTGTTTGTGGGCTAACAAATGAAAATATACAAAATAAAATATTAAACGAAAGTGGATTAAAAAGTTTTGAGAAAGCATGTCAAATTGCATTGTCGATGGAAATGTCAAACAACAATATAGAGCTTATGAGAAATAATTGCAAAGTAAACCAGCTTAACTATGGACGACTTCGGGCAAGGAAACAGACTGCGGACGACTATCAGGCTACAAAGACGCAGGAGAGGAAAGTCAACAACAGGTCCGATATAAAGTGATTCTATTATAAAAAGCGTGGTCATTACGAGAGAAACTGTTGGCATAAAAGAAGAGATGAAGAAGATGAAAATAAAAATATGTATGCAAAACGTAAGAATAGAAATTAGATTAAACATATTGATTATTGTAGTGATGAATATGTTAGTGATTATTCTGGTAATGATTATTTAAATAATTTATATGATTGTAATTATACAAAATCGTTATTTGTTTTTGTTAAAATTGAAGGTGTTCGTATCGAAATGGAAATAGATAGGAGGAGCTTGTATTTCCATTTGTCATATTTCAAATTACAATAGTTATTTCAAAAATTTAAAGTTAGAAAAACAATGTGAATATCTTAAAGTGGTAACTGGCGAAAATGTTGACGTGGTTGGTTCTGTTGTTGTTGAAGTCAAATTTGAGGAAAGAATTCATAATTTGAAATTGGTTGTGTTGAATTCGCAACACATATTTAAGCCCCTTTTAGGAAGAAACTGGCTAGATGTAATATTTCCTCAGTGGCGTAAATCATTTAATAATGTAAATTCTATACAACTCAATACAAATATTAATTTTTCGTTTGATACATATAATAGTCTGTTTTCTAAAGGAAATGATTCGACAATAAAAGACTATGTTGCTGAAATTGTTTTAAAAGAGGAATCATACCCAATACTTGCAAAAGCATACCAAGTACCGTTTGGATTAAGAACCAAAGTTGAAGCGGAACTTGATAAAATGTGTGAAGAAGGCGTATTAGTTCCTGTAAACCGAAGAAAGTGGGCAAGTCCTATAGTCATTGTTAACAAAGGTGATGGTTCTATTCGAATATGTGTTGATTGTAGCAGAACTGTGAATAGATTTGTAGAAAATGAACACTATGTATTACCTAGGGTAGATGACATTTTGGCAAGTTTGTCAGGTTGGAATTATTTTTGCAAATTGGACCTAACTGGAGCATACTTACAAGTAAAAGTGTCTGATCGATCTCGCGAAATACTGACTATAAATACGCATAAGGGACTTTACCATTAAACCCGTTTAGTTTACGGTTTAAAAACAGATTTTCTCGAAAACAGTATGTGAAATTTTAAAAGGATTGGAAAAGGTACAAGTATACTTTGATGATATCTTAATTGGTGGGAGCGATGTATATGACTGTAAAAGTAATTTAACTGCAGTTTTAGATAAATTGTTGGAATATAATATAAAAATTAATTTTGATAAATGTAAATTTTTCGAAACGGAGATAAATTATTTAGGATACACAATCAATAGAAGTGGTATTTCACCATCTAAATTAAAAATAAAAGCAGTTCTGGAAGCCCCATCACCTACGAATAAAAATCAATTAAGATCATATTTGGGAATGATTAATTACTATAATCAATGTGTACCTAATTTGTCGTCTGAATTACATTTACTATATGATTTAACAAGAAATAATGTTAAATGGGTGTGGTCGGAAAAACATCAATACATTTTCGAGAAGAGTAAGGAACTAATAACTATTATTGGAATTTTAACTCATTATGACCCTACTAACCAATTATAATATCGTGTGACGCTAGTCCCTATGGCGTAGGTGGAGTTTTGTCCCACATTGTAAATGGTAAAGAGCGCCCTATTATGTTTGTATCCGGCTCATTAAAACCATCTGAGAAAAATTATTCGCAACTCTATCGTGAGGCCTTGGCAATAGTGTATT